TGGAGGCTCTTCAGAGATTCTTAGATTTCTCTCGATCTGGATCTCTTGGTTAGTGTCTCCAGTTACTCTGGACAGTTCACCTGGCTCATCCGGACTTCACCTTCCCATCTTCCTCCAGTTCCTGTGAGGCCCCCTTGCCCCAAGGCCCGCCCCTCCCACCGACCTCCATCTCAGGCAGGTGTTCCGCGGCGACATCGGATCTTTGGAGCGTTGCAACGCATGAATGCAACCCAGGCCGGGCTGTGTCCGGGCGAATCCTCGACCCCCAGCGACCCCAGCGACCTTGTCCGTCCGTGCGGAGGATGGACCGGCGACCAGGAGGATCATGGGCTGCTTTGGCAAGTCATACATCTAGAATCACGCAGTTGCCTGGTTGGAACCTCGCTGGCCACTTTGACTTTGTTACCCAAACCTCCAAAAGAAGAAGCATCAGAATATCAAAGAAGGCTTCGCTCGAAGCATTTGCCCCACAAAAAAGACATCAAAGACCAACAACTTTGACTTCTCGTTACTCCAGAAGGATCCCACTCCCGAGTGCTTTTGTTGGAAAGGGGTTTTAGCCCTGCAGGGAGATCATGGTGTCCACTTCTTCATGGAGGGCTTCCCTGGTGCTGACATTGTCCCAGGCAGGGGTGGCAGATTCCCGTTGGAACTGGGAACTACTACTGGTCAGAAAAGCTGGAGCGGAAGGGCAAAAGCTGTTGCAAGATCAGACATGCTATCAGCGCGAGGATATCCGTGGTAGACGAATAGGCAGCGGTTTTGGCACCCAGGTCCTGTATATGTATATACAAAAGCTCCTGTAGTTGGGTCATGATCCATGTCCTCTTTGTTGTCTAGGAATCGAACAGGTCTCCTCATCTTCTTTGTCAGAGCCTACCCGTACTTTTTGCGCACGAAGGTTGATGGAAGAATTCCCGCTTTGCTTTGGTGGAGAAGTCACCCAGACCTGACAGACCAGCAGTCCCACACTCCTGTTCAATGATGTTGTTGTTGTTGTTGTTGTTGTTGTTGTTGGTAGAGACAAAAGCAGCTGCCCAACATAGTTGTCACATGTTGCAAGTCAGGGATTTCAATGGGACACTGTTAGGGATAGGGTCGAAGGTTTGGAGAGATGTTAGTAGCTGGACTTCTTTTCATTGTGGTACTCAAGTCTTGGTTGGTCTGTTTCTTGTTTTTTGATGTTTTTTGGGGTGTTGTTCTGGATGGGGGAGGGGTCAAAAAACAACAACGGGGCTGCAGATTTTGTTTCTAGGGGGGGTAGAGACAACAACATCTTTTGAGGGGTGGTCCAAAAAAACAACAACGGGGCTGCAGTTTTTGTCTCTACGATGTGGTAGAGGTTCTAAGTAGAACTTTTACAGAGGCTTAGCTGACCGGACTACCACTACTACTACTACTACTACTGCTACTGCTACTGCTACTGCTACTGCTACTGCTACTACTACTGCTACTACTACTGCTACGACTCCTACTACTAATACTACTACTACTACTACTACTACTAGTAGGCTACTACTATGCTACTACTACTAGGCTACTACTACTAGGCTACTACTACTAGGCTACTAGTACTAGGCTACTAGTACTAGGCGACTAGTACTAGGCTACTAGTACTAGGCTTCTACTACTAGGCTACTACCACTAGGCTACTACTACTAGGCTACCACTACTAGGCTACTACTACCAGGATACTACTACTAGGCTACTACTAATGGGCTACTACTACTAGGCTACTACTACTAGGCTGCTACTACTAGGCTACTACTACCAGGCTACTACTACAAGGCAACTACTACTAGGCTACTACTACTAGGCTACTACTACTAGGCTGCTACTACTAGGCTTCTACTACTACTACTACTACTGCTACTACTACTACTACTCCTCCTGCGACCACTACATAACGACTACTACTAGTACTAGTACCACTAGTACTAGCACTCGTACAAGCATTGCCACTACTGGTAAAAGTCCATGTTGGCTGGTTGTTTTCGGGGGGGGTCAAAAAAAACAACGACGGGATTGCAGATTTTGTTTCCACCCCCGTAGAGACAAAGGAACAAAATATTTTGTAACGTGGCTGCAGTTTTTGTTTGTACCTTGTTGTTGTTGTTGTTGTGTCATGCAGGAGGTGCAAAATTTTCGTCAATTTTACGTGTGACCTGTGACCATGTTTTGATGCCGGGCCCAGCAATGTGAAAGAGATCCTCACAAAAGTGGTGCAGGAATTTTTTCCGTCAGCAGGAGTATTTTTGCAATCACCTCTCCCATCTCTATCTCAAGGAGCTTAATCCAGAAAAAGATTGCTTGACATGTGCCGGCACCATACTCAACTGCATAGATTGCATTATGTTGGCAAAGGTCTTCGAACAATATTAGAGAAATCTGCTTGTTGCACTAGAGATGTGAACTGCCGTGGCGTGTTGTCGCATAGGGCTCCATATCCGTCATATCGGCGTTAGCTAAACCCAGTTGTTTGCTGTTGGCAAGTAGACTCCCTAAGCACGAGGCAACTCCATGAGGCTACAAATGTGCAAAGCACTTGCATATTACGTGTTTCTGCTAGCTGCTAGCTGTGAATGCCAGGTGTAATGACTCTTTACTTGATAGCTTGACCCATCCCTGTCTTCAGCAGGCTTGGTCTTTAGATGAGTTCCTGGTCCTGTGCCCACCCGATTTGCAATTTTTATTTTGATATTTCCTCCCTTGGCATGTTAAACGCCATGCGTTGAAGTCAGCAACCTTTAAGCTGGCACCGCAGACTTAGCTCCACAAGAGGGTGAAGAAGTGCTGTGGCGGCAGCGAATGCGTGAGGGGCCCCGGTGGGTGCGGATGGCAAGGCGTTTGGACAAGCTTAACACCCATGCATCTTCTAGCCATTATCGCTCGTGTACAATTGAACAAGTACAACTTCCGCTTTCCTTGACTTTTCGTTCATGTTTCTAACGAACTTAACAAGGCATCACCAACATTTTGCATCAGCTATGGTGTTTCAATAGTCTTTTTTGCACAGGTCCCACAGCTCCTACCCCGTTTTTTCGGCTGTCGCAGGCTATGACAACCGCTTGGTTGACCTTTTGAAGTCCAAAAATGTGACAAAAGCCACTTGGCAAATGTTGCGCGGGACTAAATGGACCAATTGAGGACGCCCAGGATGTGTAACACCCTGGCGAAGGACGACACTAACAATCGGATCAAACTTTTGAAAAGGACTGGGATGTGGCCATTTGGACTGGGATGTGGAGCCGAGAAGCATCCACTGTTTGCAACATATCCATTTGGCAGGTGATCGTTGTCTGATACATATATATATATAATTATATATATACATATATGTATAGTATATTTCTTTTCTGTGCATGGGCATTCTTGCAGTCTTAGTCTTCAGATCACCGGATTCGTTCCGGGATGCGCCCAGGTCGTTCTGGGCGGTTTGAAGACGGGGTAAAGTCTGTTGGCCGCTGCCGAGCTGCTGGCCGATGAGGGTCTGCTGCTTTACATCGCGAACCTGGGACCGAGTGAAGACGGTGCTGGTCGCGATTTCTGTTCCAATTAAACTTCGGCTTCGTAAACATTCGCGGAAACGGATTTTACCCGCTTCGCCATTTGGAACTGTTGAGGTTTCGCAAGCGTCTGGACTTTGGCGAAACTGGACGTTGGGGGGGCATCTTCTTCATTTTTGTTTAACGTTTTTGCAGAGATGTTGGCGCCACCGCAAACGCCGAGCCCCGCACCGCGTTGACCGGGGAGGTTGTTCGGCTGAACGTCGGCTGAACGTCCGACGTGAGTGCGGTGCCCAGGCGCGAGTGCGTGGCCGACGACAAGATTGATCGTGGGGAGGCGGTGTGGGGGAGGCCCAGCGGAAGGATGGTAAGGCTGGTAAGGGATTTGAGGTAGCTTTTATGCAGGTTTTTGGACTGATTTGGCTTTGGATGGTGGCAAGAGATGTTCTGTGGTTTTATTTTTATTTTTTGCGTGGCTCTTGACACCACAAGTTCGTGTGTTTGGAGTATCTAAGGCTACAGCACGTGCTTCCATTCCTGGCAGATGCGGGAGCCCTTGAGGGCAAATTGCCAAGAAACATCTTTCAGATTGCTTGGATTACTTTGCAAAGATACATCAATATTTCTCCTTTCGGACACGAGACGTTTCATACAGAGGGGAGAAACATGGAGAAGAGGCACCTTCGCTGCTGGTCTCTGCATGAACTCCAGATAACTCAAGCGTGCATCTGGGTGCTTGTGGAGCGTCCCCTATCCTTAGTTTCAATGCTAACTTTCTCAGGTCTTTCACTTCGAGGATTTCCGGACGCAGCTGGCGCACGAGATCATGATTGACATGAGCTCCACGCTTGTTTGAACCATGCTGCTTAATAGTGGCATCTCAGCGGCAACACATGTCAGACATGTGGTCCCTTCGTGATCCATCTGCCAACCCTAAAGCTTTTTGGGTCCTTCAATTCGAGAGGAATGATGATCATGATCATGCGCTTTCAGCCAGGTTTGTCGAGTTCAAGACCGTGAAGAGAGCTGGCTAGAAACCTGAGCTGTATTTTCCAAAGGCAGCTGAACTGAAGTGGCATTTCCGTGCGCACTTCCATTTAGTTCAAAGGATCACTCGATGTAGCGGGCCAAAGGATTTGGGTGAAGCAATTGTCCCAAGCATCTCGAGTCATACTAACCTGGGTATGGCTGAGAAATAAGATGAAATAAGTACCGGCCAAAGCCCGCTGGTGAAAGGGAGAACGGTCTGAAACTGCAAGTTTTGTGGGTCCTAACCCATATTCTCTGTGTTTGACTAAGTTGTACTTCACCCAGACAAGCCAGCTGCATCGGCAAATCGACCAGCTTGGAGTGACGTTGGAAGAAATGGCGGCAGAAGAGGCAAGCGAGGGCATTTGATCTTGGAGTTTTGTACCTAATCAGATTTGGTCTCACTTGGTGAACGACAGCAGCTTGTCTTTGTGTTTTGCCCAGCCAGTCTTTCGCGCATATCAGGTCCGGCCAGTCTTCTGGAGCCCTGATGGGCGTGCGAAATTGAGGGCAGGTTAGTCAGCAGTTAATGGGCGATGCCGAAGTCGTGGTTGGTTTGAGCCATGTCCAGCTGGTTATACCCCCAAGCCGGACTGGTGGCATTCTTCCCAAGCGAATCTGCCAGGAAGTAAAGACCTCCTGTACGTGCACACGCAGCATTATGTTAGTTTCAGGATACGCTGGTGTAGCCTTCAACCAGTACCACGCAGACTCTCGGCTTCTGTCAGCACAACGGACCTCTCTCGGCTTCTGTGCAGTGACCGAAGGGGCGTGGTTGGCACTGGAGAAGGTGCAAGGTCGAGGTAACGTTTGGAAAGTCTTGCTAAGAAGCACTGGCTGCATGTGCCACTGGGAAAGGACGTCCTTTCCCCAGAACCACTTCACCTTTGACACCGCCGTATTCTTTGTGATGTGCGACATGGGCCCATCCATCCCCCTGAGACAGGAATGCGCGTACGCGAGCGCGCGACCACGTGACACCAACTTGACACCCACGTGAAAGGAAAACACGAGGGACTTTCAAGCCGAAGCTCAGTTGACACAGGGTAGCTCAGTTTGGCACTCTGTAGACCGGTATTTTTCGAGTTTGCCCCTGGACTTGACTGTGCTGGATTGAGAGGGTGCTGTCAGATTGCGGGAACACATCTCAGAGAAGCTGTTTGCAATGTTGAGAACCAAGGTCACTAAGGTCACAATGGGAGGGGTAGGGGAGGTACCAGGTCACAAACCGCTTCTCTGTGGCGGCTCGATAATGTTAGTGGCCAGCGATCTGAAGTCAAATTCACGTGATCCACCAAAGATTTCTGGTTCGCCTTTACCCTAATCCGACCTTTTCAAAGTTTCTTTTGGGACCATTTGCATAGCGTTGTCTGGTGATCGCACATTGTGTGCCACAGCAAGATACTCTGCATTCAAGGCCAGAGTTCATGCATTTGCGAGGTTGTTTGGGGCGCGCCTCTGGTCGCTCGGATTCTGTCTCACTCACTTCCGTCGCACTTTGGATTCGGCGGTGTATTTGTTAGTGAGGGCTAAAAAGAAGCTTGCCGTCGCAGACTTGGCTCGATGATCGACCTCGTTGGACACGGGACCTGGGGGAGCTAGCTGATCAACCTCCACCATTGAATGCGTCGCTGTTCGGGAGACATTTGCCATGGTTTTTGGACCGCTCCGATGGTATCGATACGGATCATGTCCCGGAGCTTTTCGAGCTTTCCCCTTTTTGCCACTTTTTGGGGGAACCTGTCATCAAGTGTGGGGACGTCTCCACGGAAGACTAGAAAGTCCAGGAAGGGAGGTGGACCAAGGCAGGAAGTGGCGAAGTGGCAAAGGAGACCAAGAACACCAAAAAGCCACAGACGACATGGTGGACCGATCTGGTGAATCATTCTTCGACCTTTGAACAGCCGGTCGGGTCACTGCGGTCACTGGAACCGGGTTCGGTTCCGGTTCCGGTTGGGCATTTCTTCTCGGTTCCATGGGCAGAATCTCGCCAGAGACTTTCATTTTTTAGATCGTTTTTGTGTGGACGTTCGAACCAGATGACCTGGTGGATCAGATGCTCGTTTTTCCTCGTAAATTCCTCCTGGCTCGAGGATGCCCCGCAACGGTCGGGGCTGGGATCTGATGGAGATGTCCCTTGGCTGCGAACAGGTGAACAGCCACAGTCTGTCACTGGCGAACGTCCACATGGATCTGACATGTAGAGATGAACGTTTCGATCTTCTTTTTCGAACCCCCCTGATGCGCCGAATGATAGGATGCAGTCGACTGGTCGTCGACTGTACAGCCGTCGAATGTGGCGTCGACCGAGGCAACAGACAAGGTGCGACAGCCTTCGGTCCTGGTGTGCGTTGTCATTGCGAATGCAGGATGCAGGATTGAAAAACGCCCATAAAGGCTTTGACGTTTTAGAAGTCGGTATGTAAGAGGCGAAACGGTGTTTTCTTCCGAAGAACTGGCCGGAGCTGTTCTCAGTTCTTGGAGCTCGCGACGCTTTCGTGTTTTTCTTTGGTTCGTCATACCATATCACCGGTGGGGTCACGTCCCATTTGCCACACTCCATCGCTATTGCAGGTCGCGAGCTGGCCAAAGCTCGGTGTCCCTGACGCCGGCCATGCTTCGCCGAAGGCCAGGGAGGGCGGTGTCCCTGGCGGCGGAACGGGCGACCGATCGTCGAAGGGGAGCTGCATCGCGGTCCTCTCGCTGGCCGCGGGAGCTGCGACGCGTCGGGTCTAGCAACCCGATTCTTGTAAATAGCGATGGCCTCCAATCATTCAATCCTAACAGACTATATAAGTCCAAGAAATCCAAGAAGCCTGAGAGGGGAGAGCCCTTTGGCCAGGCAGGCAGCCTCATTCCTGCTCCTGGACTCTTCAGATCACATGGAGGCGCTGCGATGTTGCAGGGCTGCCGAAGGACTGGTCTTGCTGCGATGTTTCAGTCCCTGAATCCGCCCGAAACAAGCTCCAAAACCAGGGCGTTGCTTGGAAAGATTCACATCACCAAGGTCTTGCTGTTCAGCTCTGGGCTCTACACGTCGACTCCAGATCCATGATCCGACCACAGACCGGCGCCACAGGCAGAGGTGCTGACAGACCCAGGCCTTGGAGGCCTTGGAGGCTTCGGACCCGCTGACGATCGACGTCGGCTGTGGGAAAACACCGAGCGCTGGACCAAAGGCCTTTCACGGATGAGACGTTTGAGGTGAAGAATGGTGAAAACAAGACACACCACGTGAATGCTAAGCACAAGCAGAGACCGAGAGCAACTGGAGATTTGCCCGTTTTCTGCATTTGTGACGCAAACATGGTCACGATGGATTCTTTCTGCTTGCCTTGTTTGTGCAGGGGATGCAGTGGCACCGACCGGAAAGCACCTGGCGACCTCTTTTAGTGGCCGGATGCTCAGAAGCTTTGCACAGATGCAGCACTTGCTAACTCTCACACCCTGAAAGCACCGAGAGCTGCTCGCGCTCAGCGGCTGATTTCATGTGAACAGCTCAGCAGCACTTCTTCCTGCAACTTCTACGTTCGAAGCTTCCAATTTTTGTTCAAAACTCTTAGAACTCTTGGTAGTTTTTTTCCTTTCCCACCATTTTTCCACCCAACGAGCCGACTGGCGGTCTCGTCTTTCTTTTTGCTCGCACCGACACGTCGAGACGCCGCGAGTCGTCTCAGTCGTCTCAGGTCATGGGACGGGCACTGTGGGGGCGCCGAGGGAGTGCAGTCTTTTTATTTGTTGTGTTAGTTGTGTGTGTGTTTTTCTTTTTTTTGAAATGATCTTTTTAAGGCCAGGTATAAAGAAAGGAAAGAAGGATCCTTATGGACCCTTCTTTGTCCCTTTTCTCTTACCTAAAGCTTTTGGACATGCCAAAAAACATCGTTATCTATTGTTGTGTCGCGTTCCAATAGATGGCCGCCACACCGTGCTTTGAGGGGGCGGTGGCGGGTGACCTTCACCAAATCGTGGCAGACCCCTACAAGATTGCTGACTCCGCGGTGCCTCGGCAGAAAACGCCGGTTCTAAGCGGGTGTTGGTGGGCTTGACCAGCTGGGCTTGCCCTCATGGGTCAAGGAAGAACACCCCTGCATTGGCATATCCCACACTTTCCAACATGGCATGAGATTTGAGCCAATGACCAGTTTGCCATTTTCTTTTAAATCATTTTTTTGTTTAGAAATTATGTGTGTGTTGATGAATGCGGGGAGATGATCATCCGTCTCTCAAAGAAGAACGGGTCCGGTCACAGCCCCGACCAACACCGGCTCAAAAACTGTTTGGTCCAACGGTTCAGACGGGGCCGGGCTTGGCGTCGAACAGACCCGGAAGACCTCATGGAAATTCTTCCAAGTTGGCTCTGAAACAGGACAAGCGGTCGGAGACTGGGCCTGTTTTTCAGAGCCTTAACAGGACAAACGGTCGGAACGTCCACCCGGATTTGATAGGGCAGAGGAGTCGGGCAGCGAAACGAAGTGGTTCAAGTGGTTCTTTCGGTCGCGGGCAGAGGATCGAAGTGGCCAGTTGGGCTGTGAGACCCTGCCCAGTTGATAGTTAGTTCATCGCCAGACTTCTTTTGTGGTTAGATGTTCAGACCTCCCTTTGAAGAGAACAGTTGAATTTGTTTCTTTTTTTTTTTCGGTGTGCCCCCATGGCGAAGTGCCCTGTTGGGGTGGCAGGATCTACCTTTGGCACTGCCTCGTTGGATTCCGTTCGATCGATGTCACTGAGATGTGGGCCAAGCTCATGACCGATGCCGCTGGGTTTGCATGACCGAAGGGCATGGGTGCTGACGGACCGAGGGTGGATGTGTCTCAAGGGTCTCCAAGAATTTTGGCCTTCCGTGATGACTGAAAGGGAGCCCGCCCTTTTGAGCCCCCCAAGAGGAATTTGAGACTTGCTTTGCTAATCTTTCCTCGATTTTGAGGGTGGCCGCAACCAGTTCTGATTTTGAAGCAAGACATGACTTCATGTCAGCTTTTTTCAAGTCTTCAGTGGCCACGGATTTGGAACATCTCAACTGACGAACTTCCCGAGAATTGAGATGGATGCGATCTCCCCGAAAGGACCTTAAGGCCCAAAGAAGCATCCCTTTTGCTGCCCACGTCGCCCCTGGTCGATCCCATGGGCCCTCCCTGGTCGATCCGTGGCGGCGTTTCCTCGTTTTGAGGTCGCGGTGGCCGCCAACTTTGGGGTGGGGGTTCTTGGGAGGGTTCTCGGACCTCCGACGTTTTGAACAATCCGATGAAGTGGAAAAAGGAGAGGCAGGTGAGCCAGTGAGCCTGTGGAGAGTCGGTGTGAACATGTGGATGAATTGGTCCACAAGCGCACACACACACACACACATTGACATTGACATTGGTTCGTGGAAGGGCCATCAAAGTGAGCTAGTGAAGATGACAGCTAAAGGGTGGGGCGCTGCAAGTTCTTGCTGTGCTGTGTAAGGGTCTTAGTGAAGGATAATATGGTACAGTCAATGTATACTCACTAATTATATAGTTAATGTCGCGGATTGATTTGAGCGCATTGCCGTGTTTTGACACCTTGTATCCTGAAATATACAAAATTAGATATTCTGCAGAGTTAC